CGTTCCACGTGGTCCGCAGCCATTTTCCGCCCGTTCCACGTGGTCCGCGGCCATTTTCCCGCCCGTTCCACGTGGTCCGCAGCCATTTTTCTGCCCGTTCCACGTGGTCCGCGGCCATTTTCCGCCTGTTCCACATGGTCCACGGCCATTTTTCTGCCCCTGACACATGGTCCGCAGCCATTTTTCCACCCCTGACACGTGGTCCGCAGCCATTTTTCCGCCCTGCCGCGTGGGCAGCAGCCGTTTTTCCACCCGACGCGTGGTCTGCAGACGCCAGAACGGATTAATGGTGATTACATTGAACCTTATGGGAAAATTTACTTCGACTTGCGACCAACTCAACTTGCGATCAGAGTCATGGAACGGATTAAGTTCGTAAGTAGAGGTACCACTGTAAATTTATTAGGAGTTGCTCCCAGGAAGTGATCATAAGACTGTAGTTTGATATGTGTGATTTCACATCGAAGGATGTTTAAGTCTTAGGATGGAGTGGCATTTTGGATCAAAGGCAAAAAGATGCTCTAGAGGTGCAGCTCCTTAAACCAGACCTGATTTTTCCCAGTATGCTGTTTCTCTGCAAAGGACAGCCACGCAATCTTGCCAAAATCAGAGTTTCTTGAAGGAGTTGCAGGCAGGTATTTTGTTGAGCACCCAATTACTCCAAAACTCCATTTTGCTTTCCATTCTGAAGGCCTACTCAACCCTAATGCTGGTTTCACGACCATCATTTTTGGCCAACCCTAAGCAACCCTTTCTCTCTCTTTTTTCTTTTGGGTAATGGGGAAGCAAGTCATCTTGCAATACACTGGACCAAATCATGGGATTAAAACTGAGGTTCCTGTAGCCTGCTTATTCCTCCTCACCCCCACCCTCGCACCCTCCCTCCCTCCCTCATTGGGATCCTACTTTGGAGACGCCCAGCTGCCAGCAAAAACTCAGGAAACCCTTAAAGGAGATGAGATAGAGGTGGAGTTGGAGAGTGATGGAGGGAAGGAGCGCGTCTTTAAGCTGACGCACAAGGCTTTGGAAGAGAGAAAAGATGACCAGGAGCTGTGGAGGGCAATACGGACAGACAGAGACAAAGAGAGAGAGAGAGAGAAAAACCATGAAAAATTAAAATAACCCATAAAAAAAAAAGAAAAGAAAGAAAACCATGTTAGGAATGGATTCAAAGTGATTGGTAATCCCTCATGGGATGCAACTTTTTGGATACCCCAGGGACATTTTTAGTGCTAAACTTATCCTGATAAAAATGGCATTTACCTGGCCAAACACTATTTCTGGTTGGAAGGGAGCCCACTGTAATTCACCCCCTTCCCCTCTGCTGTAACCTCCCCAATTCACAAAAGCCATACCTCCTTGAGGCGGTCCATGTCCTTGAGGTAGAATCCAATGTAGAAAAGACTTAGGTATGAATTTACAAATTGAAACTGTTTGAAGAAAGGAGAAAGAGAAGCAATAAGAGAGAGAGAGAGAGTTGATGTAACAAAATAAAGACAATCTTGCTGTTTGTCTCTAGCATTGGGCAATTCACAGATGAATCATTTAACAAAAATAGTCCCGCTAAATCAAAACAAAACGGCCTTCACTGAGAATAAAAATTCCACATAAAAGGAAGAAAAAGCGTACATTTTTGCACACCCGGTCACCATCAAAATTCTGGTGGACAAGTATGATTAGCAGCATTAAATAGCAGCATTAATGGAGAGACTTTCTTGCCAAGGCTCACCAAAGAAAGCCAGTCATCGGAAGGAGTTGGGCCCTGTCTGGAGAAACTCCTGCTGGATTTTTGAGACTGTGTCCTGCTTGCTAGAACTGGGACAGGGGTCTCAAAAAGACTCAACTTACCAAGACCATTTTGATGATGAGGTGTTTTTCGTAGGCACTCTGCAAGCGATAATTTTCTGCAAGGAAAAGGAATGAGAAGGAGGTCGAACGTAGCAGTTCTGGAGCTAGACGGATCTTTTCTAGAACCAGAATAAATTCGCTTCCCAATGGCAGCGGTGCACCTCTGTGGGCACCATGTCTCGACAATTTAGTGAATACTGGTATATCTGGCAAACATTCTCTGAGTAGTAACCTTTTTTTTTTTTTAAACATCTGATGATGTATTTTGTGGCTGAGAATTTGATATGGGCCAGTATCTGCTGTCTACGCAATGGTGCCTAAAGGCTGACTCTCTAATAATTGGCGTGAGGGGGTGGCACGGTAGTGACACTTGACCAGTGTGGTCAGACTTGCTGGATCAGATCCAGGTAGGCTCATCTAGGACCATTTCCTACATCAGGCAAATGCCAGTGAGAAACTCAGAAGAAGTGCGTAAAGCGAGGGTCCTCTCCAGCTTAGCCTTTTGCTAAGGGTACTTTTGATGATGTGCTTCTCTATCTTTCATAACTGAAGTTTCACTATTCTATCAAAGAACCTGCGCTCTACTAAGCCGGAAACAAAAACCCCTTTTTCTAAGAAGCAGATTTACAAGCACTTGGTTACTATCTTCATCAGTTATTGTAAGGTTTAAAATAACCAATACATTGCAACCAAACTGCTGAAAATAATCTCTACTGCTATACCTCTAAAAATAAGGAGCGTTTGCCACAATGAGAGCAATTTTCCCCCAAATTTTTTTTAAAAATCCAGTAATGAGACATGGAGGGGGAGAGAAAATGCCCACTAGCGTGCAAAACTTTATTTTATTTGGGTTCCTAAGCTCAAAACTTCTGAAGTTGTTCCAATCCTAGATTGCAGGGACGTACTGCTGAGGTGCTCAGCATCCTCGGTTTCACAGCACTCAACTGGAGGCTGGCTGTTTTGCCCCTTCTCTGCTCTTCTTTTCTTGCGGGCCTTTTCCTGATTTGGGGAGCAAAGTCATATACCATCTAGACCGCTTCTGCACTTGAGGAACTTAAGAGTTTCCATTGGATCAGAGGATGTACAATGTGGATATTTACCCATGTCGTTTAGCCAGTAGGCAATTTTTCTGTAGACTTCATCGCAGGCAGTGACGATGACGGCCAGCATGATTTTGGGCAAGAAGCGCACGAGGCGTGGCAGCTCCTTGATGCTCAGCACAAATTCCTGATCAAGGTGGGGGAAGAAACAAATTGGATAACCATGATTGCACCCCAAACCGGTAAATACAAATGTCTTTCCATAAAGGCAGAGGTTTATTTCTATCATGACCAACTGCTGTTGCTCAACTATTTCTGTTCCATGAATCTGAGCATTTTCTAAAAAAAATCTCAGCTAATTTGGCTATTAACAAATCTACCCACCCACCCATTCATTCACTCAAGACTCCTGGTGGTGAACGAAATGCATTTAAAACATTGACAGTAAATTGTATAAAAATAAACATCCATGGTAAAGTAATAATGTAATAATGTGTCAATCAATATCGATCAATAAAGTCAATTACTAACACATCTCCACCTGATCAACACTGCCCTTCAAACAAGAACCCAATCAACTCAGATGGTATCAGCTCAGTCTAGAAATGCTCCACAAAAGAGCTCAGTTTAAATGTTTTCCTAAATGACAGCAGGATGGGGGCAAGTCGAATGTCAGCAGGGGCTGTTCCAAAGAGTGGATACACGTCCTAGCTTCAGCTCTTCTCGCTTCCCAGAAGTAGGGCACTGTCAGGTCTAGCCCGAAGAACTCCAAGAGACGATGCAAATTCA